ATCTAGACTTTTGGATTCTGATGTTCTTCTGAGAAACCGATAGATCACGAGCAGTTACTTTTTTCTGAGAGGGCACACTTAAAGTACGATTCATCACGACTCTGAATCACAGTGCCTTCCATTGAACCGTCCGTAACCTTGGGAGCTGCGACAATAGCGTGATACGACCAAAAACTCACAACATGTCTGAGAAACCAAGACAAATTAGCTTCTCTCGGCGTTTAGAAGCTAATTTGTGCCTAAATGTCTGGGCTCTAATTGTCGGAACATTTAACTCTGAATACATACCTTTTAGCACCATGGTGCAAACTTAAAAATCAAATGCTAGAACGGATCTGAAATATCAAAGCTGTGAATCTACCTGTAAAAAACGCTGAACTGGAGAAGAATCTTGTCGTTTGAAGACTCTTCCACGGGTGAAAATTTGTACACCGTCCCAGACAACAAAGGTAGAGTTGTTTGGCAGCTTACGTTTTTCATTGGAACGTAAGTGTGGGTGATTTTTTTCAATTTAGGACGTGTTTTTTTCAGTCAATAATTTATATTGTAATATAAAATAATTTAGACCGTAGAGTTATGTTCGATTAAGATAACAAAGGTTTTCTGTGGGATCTGTAGGCTCTTCCGTGAATAGGACAGATTGCATGACGCAATATTCGGAAATGGAATGAACTCAATTTGTTCACACCGAAAGAGTCATTTATCTCTAGGTACTGCAAGACTTATCGAACAAGACGCGTTACATCGTCACGTTCGCGTGCAACCTTTGGTGCAGTGTTTCATTTCTCAGTTTCAAAATATTGACCAAAAGACATTCAAAATTAAAATGCTCTGAGCTAGAATTAAAAATTACGAGAAACAGATATAACCATGCATTTTAAGAAAGAAAGAATTGTACGAAACAGAGTCACTTTTTTTGTTGTTGTTGACGTTGTTGTTTTCATTTGAATGAAGTTAAAATCTACATTTATCGTTCATATACCAAACAATTTCTCTAAACCCCCAGAATTACGTGACATCACTGTGTCACTCAAACAGTGTATATCTTTCACGCACTGAGCTTTTTGACGTTGCGCGCCCAATTGAGCGAGAATTTTCACAGGAAATCACTCAGAGCTCATCATTGAGCAGCGATGATATTTGTTTCTTGTGAGCTCATGAAACAGTGGGGATAGTTCACGTAAGTTTTTACATTTTTTGTATTAGCTAATTGCGTCGCGCAAAGAAACTTGGAGAAAGCTCCTCATAACAACGAAATAATATTCAGTTCAATTTCGTCAATGTGTATTTTCCATTTTCCGACGAGGTTCCAAAGGAACGGAGATGGACTGGATGTTGCTCTGTCTCCAGAAAAACTTTGATGGCGCAAAGATGTGAGGTTGATTTGCAATATTTAATGTTCGTTGACTAACTCATGTAATGCAAAGTTGACTATTAGCGCACAGAGCAAACCGTGAAAGTAACGTGAAACTTTATTTTATTTGGGCCTCGTGTTGACTCACAAAAAAAATGTACTATGTATTGAAGAAAAGAATAAAAACAGGGCAGTCATTTAGAAGTTTTATGATTAAGGAGCGTGTCTGAATAATGAGTCGGAATGTATTTCCGAGATCAGACACATCTTGTGAATTTGGATAAACACTTGACCCTGTGGTTTGGATAAACACTTGACCCTGTGGTTTTTGGGAGGAAAGTGAGCAATGTCGGGGTTTTTAGCGAATCGACTGCTCCAGTTTTAGTTTTAAATCAAAGGCGAACACATTTTAAGCATAACCGCTGTATTGTGAGCACATTCTTCGGTTGCTTCGAATATGCGCTTCTTATAGTTTGTCGTCCTTGCAAATAAACGAGACATATCAATTACTCTCAGAAAAAGGGCTACGTTTCTGGGAATAGAAACATAAGGTCATTCGTTTCTTACGAACTACAGATCGCAGAGATAAACTTTTCTTATAATTAAAAATGCATTAACCTTTCAAATCATGGTCGTCGTAGATTTAAGTCGAATGGAAGGGAAAAAAGAAACAGCGCGCAAATGATTGCCAGATGAACTACCCTACTTTTACTACAGATATGCGATGTCTACATTGGCCCGAAAATTGTAACACTTTTGATTGCGCCGTTTGTTTGACTCTCTTTTGCATTTCTACCATTAAAGGACAGAATTACATAAGATGGAATTTTTTCACTGAGAAAAAGGCCACAAATGGCAAGGATGACTGCAATTTTACGTTGACAACCGCTATATTGCACGTTGCTACACTTCTATGGCAGCGTTCGTAGTACAGCAAACGCTTGTTGAGAAAAGCTATGATATTTTATTTTTTTGACTGGAAAGTTTTTCATAATGCCACATTACTGATACTGTGTCTTAGCTAAAGGAAACTGGTCCATTAATTTCGTCTCCAGTTATCACGAAAATAGATTAATGACACGTTGGATTCTTATTTATGGGCTCAAAACAATGTTGTAGACATTCTTTGCCATTTGCCATGAGAGTTGTTGACCTTTGAAATCACGGAAAAAGATGTTATCTTGTTCATTTTGGAATAATATTTGTTTATATCTGATGCAATTGAAAAGCATTGTAAGTTGTGGTTCTTTATGACGAAAATCAAGAAATAATCGAAAGGAACGGAGTGGAACGTGATTGTGCAAAGTTGTGTTCAGGATTCGTAGAATCGACTGATGGAATTTCGCAGAATCAGTTCACAAGACACATTGAAACAGCTGTCCTTATTGAGATCGCATCTATTCACACTATCAGAAGAGGCTGCATAGAAATTAATGTTCAAAGCTGATTTCTACGAGTAATAAACAGAGGCATTAATGCAAGTATTGTTAAGCATGTTGACTTACTTTTCAGACTCGTTTCTGCACTCAGTGAGGTATCTCTTGAAAAATGCTTTTATGCTTTTATCTCATTCTTTGATATTCATAATGCTCAGTTCGTTTAAAGCTCGAGCATGAAAGCTAACGAATTCATTTGAGTAGTTTGAGTGTCTGAAAAGAAGGCAGAGGCTGAAGAAATGGGTCAGCAGTGAAATTTCCTCCATGTTTCCTGTTGCTTGCTGCCCTTCAATAGTTTCCATCAAACTCGTGAATCTTATCCAAAGAACCCTCTATTATTATTGAGTCGCCAGAAAATCTTGTAATAGTCTTGTAAT